GCGGAACTTAATTGTTCCTTGACTATATCGGTGAAACACCTGCATTCATTCAGGGTGAAAGGTGTTTGTGTGAGCGAGTTCCGGTAACAGCGAAACTTCTTCGAGTGTAATGGCGACTGCATCGCGTGTGTTATTAGTCCGTCGTTTTGGGGGAGGGCACGGGGTTGGGGAGAGGAGATTGGGTTGTTTCCGCTTCGGCTCTCATCATGGCAGTGCCAGGATGATCATGTGATCCAGTCACCCCGGCCTCTGAAAAGTGCAATAGCCACCTAGTCATCACCCGAAGTTAGACTTTAAGTGCAACCGTTGGGCTCACCATATGACCAGTTTCCACCAGAAGTTTCGTACTTTTTTTATCGCCATCAGTGGCCATATTCAGTCAACAATTGACAACATTTAGCGCGAATAATGTTCTAACGCCAAATGGTTTCAAACAATTATAGGCAGTAAGAATGGCAAGAAAGTGGCTGTCTCAAAGTAATAAGCTGACCGAGAAGACGTGTATGTGGTCGCTCGGACAAGAATTTAATTCGTCTGACGTTTCGAAATCCATTGCGGATCCATTAGCAGAAGCAATAACATAAACGGGTAATTCATTTACAGGGAGTCGCAGTATGTATAGGATACCGTCACTATGCTAATGCGCCCTTATAGCAAGTAGCGACTCCTCTATCGAGGATAATTGCTCGCTTGGGCGCTAATTGCCTGATGGCCGGCGTGCGGGCCGTGGCCTGCCCAACTTTCATCACGCGTAGTGGAGGGGGTATGATGATCCCTCTGCCATCACTCTCCCTGCCACTGGAGTTACACAACGCGTTGACCTCTGCGTTACCCAAGTGGTGGATTGCTTTGGCCCAATTGAGACTCAGCACCGAATATGGATTAGGCAAGTCATTGCACTGGGAGTCCGTGAATCATGACTCAAATAACTCGCGACTCACGCGATTGTCACCTCTTGTGAGATTTTCGACCTCGACAAATTTGAATGTGTGGCCGGGTCTCGTCGAATAAGTCACAACTTGGCGTCATTTCTCCGCACTCCTGTCAAGTGTTCAGCAATTCGCGTCTTCATAAGTCCTTAAATTTCTCCGATGTTAGTTGCTTTGTCTGCAACTGTACCCAGATGTTTATTGCCGTGGCAGTAAGTCCTTTGGTTTAATCACCTGACGTCTTATTTTTGCCTCCGGCCTGTATGCGACTCCAAGTGGTGCGAGAAGGCGGCAGATGGCCTCCGGCACATTTTGACATACGGAATTGCTCACCGAAATTTGAGGTCGGTGCAAGTTGAACAGCAAAATCGCACCGTGCTCATGGACTCTAAACTGAGTTAAGATGGAGGATCAGAACTGTTCGGGTCATGGGCCCAAATTGCTTGTCTTAGTCATTGTTTCGTCCTCTGGATTTTATATATACAACATGCGATGTTATTTGTCTTAGTCATAAGCGACAGATCTGTAATCTGTCCTTCCTCTCCTAGCCGGGTGACGCGGTGATGCAACCACTGTTGGACCAGTGTCGTGAGCTCTGCATGCTGGACAACGAACTCTCCTACTTTGAATTTGTCGTAACGTCTGCAAACCAGTAAGTTACTCGCTAGTTTTTACCTCTGGTTTGTTCTAAGTCTTTGATGAAGTCAAGCTGATTTCTTAGGTAACAGCCCCACCCATCTACGTGATCGGACTGTTTTTGTTTCGTTAACACGAACTCGCTCCCTAATGGTTGTGCAGGGCCGTTTGCCAAAAATAATTTCATTCTAAGCAGCACCAGCTCACCCCCGTCGACACAGAAATAATAGAATAGATGTTCTAACTCATGAAACGCGAATCTAAATTCTGCAGTTTGTTTTCAATTCGAAAACATGATTGTAAAATAACTTCCATCTTGTTTCGAGACTTTTTTACACGGAATCTAACTCAATGTGTCGGTTGGTACATGAGTCATAGGAGCGCATGGCCTCAATAAATTATTGGCTTTTTGGAGGGACAAACTCCCATTTGAAGCTTTTAATAGCATATATTGTGGCCAAACAGGAGAGTCCGCCGCTACACCCAGCCATAAACATAAACGGTCAGTTAAGAAGCGTGACCATCTGTCCCAAGTGGCCATGCACAGCCCTGATAGAGGAAACATTGTCGCGCGAGACAAAACTCGAATAGTCGAAGTTTATTGCCCCCAAAAAAGGACGATGATTTCTTGAGGACATGAACTCCGATTAATCATGCAACAAGCGGCACATTCCGTTAGATGCCATGTACAAAACTCTCAAAGAAAAATGGAAGAGAAGACAAGCGATCGATATATACTGCCGCAAGCTGCAGCCGCTAATTAGCGCTCGCATCGGTTGGATATTGGTTTTTTCGGCATTTTCGACATTTTAATTGTGCACATAGAATTGCCGGCAAAGACAGGGGAGACTGGAATGGCCGTTTCTACTACTAAGCCAGAAATGACCATTCCAGTCTCCCTTTTCTTTACCCGCAGTCCCGTCTACCTAAGACTACTAGCCGCTATTGCTGCTGTCCGGGCCTGAGAAATGTGGCCCAGTGCAGAGCCGGACAAGTGAGTTCCGTTAGCGTTCGGCGAACATTCATCGACGAATGTACTTTGCAGATTTGCTCAAGTCCGACAACGACCTCGGGGAACCAGCGTCGAACATTTACCCAATTAAGTTACTTTGTTTTTCCAAAGAACGTATTTACCTTCAAAAGTATTATAGCTTATACACAGTCACGTGTCTCTATTAGTTGCCTTTTGCATGAACTTTGCATTTAATAATTCCATAATATTTGAAGCATTTTTTCCCCGGTACAAATTGAAAGCAGGCAAAAACTGCAGAATTTATTGATATCAACAAATTTCGGGACAGCTCATCAGCTGCTACTTGTCGCTGCATAAGAACGATAACGAGGACACATAGAGCAGTAGTGAATTTCACAGAATTACTGGCAACAGTGAGGAACGTGGGTCAGTTTAAAAAATAATCGATAAAGGACAGGACGTTAAGTC